ATTGATGATTGTTTAACAATAACTATCTAATCAGTCACGGTGCAGCAACAAGTGCACGTTACTTAATTAACTGAACAGTTATGAAAACGTACAAAACGCAAACACGTACAAAAAAAAACTCAAAAGTGTTTTGTGAAATTTTTAGTGAAACAAGTACGGAAGAAAGCTGTTTTCGCCTTGAATTTAATTTGTTTGCCCACCGTCAAAGTATTTGAAAATTGAAATGCTGTGACTTGAGGCTGTTTGAGGAGGTTGGAAGAGCACACTTTTTTTTGTGATGTTGCTGGCGATTGTCTTCACTTGTTTACCTTTCTTTATCTTAGCCTTTTACTAATCGTCTAAGAAGAGTTATAATGACCGACGGTTTGTTCCTCTAATCGTTATAACTAGAAATACATATCGGAGACGGAGTAAAGCACAGAGATTTTTGATTAGTCTCAGATTCTATGTCAGTTTAAACACTTACCGGCTGTTCGGGCAATTCTTTATCGAGCAACGTTGGAAGCTCCACATTAGCAAAGTTTAATTGATATACAGCTTAAATTAGCTGTGAAATTATGCGTCGCATTCTCCTACGTTTGGCCATAACATGCAAGAGACTGTACCTTTGAAGTTAGAACATATATTATTCAAAATTTTCATAGAACTACTTACTAAGCATACCCACAATCTTAGTGCAAATATTACATATATCGATCTAAAGCTGTAACTACTTGTTGGAGCCATCTGAACAATAAGTGCAAAAATTATCGGAATGCGCAAGCTTAGATACGTTGGGCGGCAAAATTGGAATTCGCCCCAAACTATTTACTTCTGCAAGACGGTCAAACTTTCCTAAGCTCAGCTTTTGGAATCAACCTTATTGGTTCAAAAGAAAATATTCCTCTTTTCCAAGTTCTACTAAGCCGATCACAGTTACTCAGTTGAGGGGTAAAGTATAAATTAGTAAAATTAATAAAGTAGGGCAAGGCAAACCATTGAATGTTCTACACCAATTCGCCTAATAGAATTTCTCTATCTTAATTTGTTTTCACCCGGTTTCCCGGAAATCATACCAATCAATGCCTAGCATGTCGTATAATACCTATCTAAATTATAAGTGGAGGACCGAAGTGGGCGTGAATTTCAGTTATCCAAACCTTTCTCCTGATCAAAACTCTTCTTTATCTATTCACCATTTTAGCTGAAATTAGATTCTTCTCTTATATAAAGGTAGAATTCGAAAAATACGGTCTGTGTGGCCCAAAGTTGGTACACTTTATTTTTATGTCAAATTACTATTGTGAACCAATTTCCATTGCCATATAGCTTTTCATAAGAACGATTGCGTGGGAGGAGTTCACAAAATCCAGCCATCCAATCTAAATTTCTTTTTTTTTAACTTAATATAAGGCATTAATTAGGCAGTGATCGTGAAAATGGCCCGATCCAGTTCCTTTACATTAGTGTTCACTTCAAACCCAGAACAAAACAAAGTGTTCAGGATATCAAAGATTGCAATCTGTACGTTTATTGCACGGACAGACAAGGGTGACACAAACGGGGAAAGAAGTTTAAATCGATTCAGAATATGAGCCTAGAATGCTGCAACGAAATGTGAGTCCGTTGTAAGCTGCTCCGAGTGTTGCAAGCATTCACAAAAATTTGACCATACCCTGCATTGCAAATATTATGCGGTAAAGAAAATAATTAAAATCGTGGATATATAAAGTATTCAAGAAAAAAAAACGAAAAAAGATCACAATTCCTATAAGTGGTGCCTTCTTTTTATTTTATGTCTCCATAAAATATTTCTAGGCCTTAGCAAAATACAATGAATTGATTCCGGCAGCGCAAGTAAACATAAATCATAACACAAGGTTATCTCTTATATAAAGAAACAATCGGGTAACTGTGCATTGTGGTTAATGAATGAACTTCAAATTTTTTGGCTTTTCTTCGTCTGCAAAAAGCTTACGTTTGTGCGTAGATTGTCCTTGATTTAATCTCTGCAAATGTAAAATTCTTCCCAATCCCTCTATTATGGATTAAAGGTATTTTTATAAGGCGCATGACTCTTGACCTTGACGATGTTCGAATGCATAACAGAGAAATCTGCGACACAGATGCATATACCAATACTAACGCGAACTAAAACTCATTAAAGCTGCATAGCTTTATAGCTTTTGGAATAATGGTAAAAGCAAAAAAGCAAAATAAAATTTACGATTTGCAAGTTATATCAACGTTAGCCCAGTTGAAGTCGAAGCAGTTTTTAAAAACATATCAAAGATTACTCAACCAACCAACCCATCTGCGTATCTTTTCACTTGGCTTATATGCCTGCGTGTGTTATTAAAAATATCCCTTTCATGAGCCGACATTAATGTAAACATGTTTATCAGTTGAGAGGTTAATCTTGCACAGCGATAATCATTTATTTGGAAGAAACTCAAGAAACTTTTAGTTTTTTTAGCTTAGGCCGAACACGATCTCTGCAACTTTCAGCTTTCAATGATAATTTAGCTCGACGATGTATATGTGCGTGTTTGTGTGTCTAATGTAAATCCACCATACTTCCCTCTACACCCACACCCAAAAAAAAAACATGTTTTCATATTGTGCATTATGCCACAAGTGCATGTAACTAACTTTGATAATTCCTCTGATTTTTCAACAATAGATTTATGAACTAAGAGGAGAGAGTTTTTGAATTCGTTTATGTAGCTGCGAACACTTATATACATAGCCATGAATATAAAATGGCTACATGTACATGACAATTTTTAGATAAGATAACGTACGAATGGAACGCCAAAACACGATATACAGAAAAATTAATAATAATAGTAATAATAACAATAATAATATAATAATATAGTATAATGGTTAAAGCTCCCGAAATAAGAAAAAAGTTTTAATAATTGCCACAACAAAGTGCAAACATATATACGCATAAATTCATGGTAGTTTTGAAAAAAAGAAAAAACCCGTTACTACTGACCCACAGAGATTGAAATTGACAATCCCAAAACAGACACACACACGCAAACATATTAACGCGCGCACACATGTATTATAGGTAATCGTCCGAACTTTGAAGCCTTATTGCAAAAACAGAGAGTCTTAATACACTAACAAAAAAACACTTTTTACGTACCCGCACGGACTGTTTTAAAAAGTTAAACGCTTGTGAATGCGTGGGTTCGCGCAGAAAGCTGATTAGCATGAACAAAAGAAAAAGGAATTGAGAATCTCTGCTCTGTGGGCTAATGCTAAGAGAAAACACAATCTTTCACAAGTACAAAGGCTATATTATTTTAACACCTTTCACATAAAGGCGTAGTCCATTAGCGAGATCGTTGCCATCATAATTTTGTTGTTGCAAAAACAAACAAATAGCAAAAAGAAAAAAAAAATGCATTCCTATATAAATACAAGACATGGTACATGCTTACGATACATGCACACGCGTGTTTGTAACGGTAAATTTCCCAGTACTCGTTAATCACTATCAAAGTCGAAGAATTGAAATTTTCTCCTTAGAGCTTTTTCTTCGAAAGAACTACCACATATACAGATTCCTTGTACGAAATTGAAGGAATAGCCTGAAAATCATTTAAAATTTTATTAAACTAAGAGAAAACAATGAACAAATTTAGAAGAGAGCTTTGAGGTGAGAAGGTCAATTGTTTTAATATTTTGCGAGCATTTATTTATTTATAGCTTGCGCACCAATCGCGAAGAAAGCATAGTTTTTTTATTCATTTACAAAACTCGCAATGTTTGGATCGCAAAAGACGTAAAAAGCAATGTGTTCCTAAAAGGTAGCATACAAAGCTTCTCCAATATTAGGAAGACTTGGCAATAATCGCTGCAACGTATACAACGCATATAACGCTTTGAATCGATGTGGTCATCTTCGTACGCCCGCTTATTTGTCGGTGTGCACTCATTGCGGAAAACTCTAAAAATGTAATTTAGAGTCTACGGCATATACTGCCCGTCTATCGAAACGTCTATAGAAAGTGTGACTCTGATCTTATATATATTTTGTACAAATAAGAAACTATAGAAATGATCATGATTGGCTAAGGCAAACGTACGTCCATAATTCTAAAAAATTTCTTCCAATTTCGGAAGAAAACGAACATATATCAAATCTCACAACCTTGCCTAAAAGAACAAATTCGGTCTCCCGCTGTTTATTGCATACTCTTTAACCTAATTCGAAGCATCAGCTAAATAAATGTTCATCTCCAGCAAATATGCACTAAGAAAATCAAGGGCAATTAGAGCCGATATGTAAATGGGGCATAAGCATGCCTACTTTCTTTCAAGTTTAGAAAAGTACTTAAGTGTTACCTAATGAAAGGCGAAAATGTTTTCCTTAAATTGTGAAGCGATAGTCGCCAGTCAATGACCAAAGGCCCATCGATAGACCCAAGCATATTTTTCTTTTTGCAGTAGATGTGGGCATTGGTTCCGTTCTTTACATTACAGCATTATTAAATGTAGAACACCAGTCAAGAAAACGGAAGCTTGGAGTCGATTTCGACTAGAAATGGAAATCCGTCTATATTTCCTTTGCAGCCATACCATTGCTTAGGCGATAGCCAGTATCGTTATAGGTTCTCGTTTACCGCTTTCGCTTACTTTGAGAATTTTCGCACCAAGATAATATATACAACATTTAAGTTTCCTATTTCCCTGCAGTCTCACGGGCGGACAGACGGAAAGATGAAAACAGAAAGATTGATTCAAAGTTTTACGATGTGCTTTGTTTTTTTTTTTTTTTTTTTTTTTTTTTTTTTTATTAACAGAAACGAAAACTTTTTCAAAAATGCACGCCTATAAATACCTATAGCTGTGAGCGATTGATATTAATATTAAAATATCTTGAAAGAAGTTAGTGTTTCGTTAGGAATTTATTACAAGGGTTAGCAAACGCTAATTGCCGTAGGTTAGTTGTTGTAGTTTGCCTGCAGATAAGATGCACTGTAAACTAAAATCAAACTTACCACTCTGCTCCTGCTGTTGCCTTTGTTGCTCTTGCATTTTTCGTTCTTTCTCTTTGCGTTCTGTTTCGCTCCAAGAACAATGCACTGTGCCGTCACGGTGCAAATTCATATTAGCCAATGTATCGGGAATTTCTAAATTATTGAAAATATGCTGTTCACCAGTAGTTGCCACACTTCGATACATACTAATGTATTGGTATATGACGGCCCAAGCCTGCTCCTCCGACAGCGGAGCTTTAAATGATTCCAAGATATTTTTAAGGCTGACACAACCAGAAGGGTTAGTACACAAACAAATGGGCGGTGGTACTCTGGGAGCACGTACATTATCATGTTGGCCAACTTTAGGCATTTGTTCACTACTCACGCTATCGGGCGAGGTGGATAGAAAGCCATCTTCGGAGTCTGAATTTTGATATTTACCAGTGGTTCTTCTCGTTTTATGACAAAGGATTTTTAAAGTTTCTTTATTTTTTTGATTGCTACTATTTTCATTGCCCCTGGAGCATTCATGAACGCCAGCGTCATTGTTCATATTTAAGTGGCCTGAAGAACCGATTACGTTAACTGTTACATCTTTATTGCGGCTATCACTATTGTTCTCCAAATTTTGCACCGTTCCACCTCCCAAATGGCTTTCCAACGCTTCTTGAATGTCTGTTGTCATGCTTTTCCTCTTCGCTTGTAGTTTTGCACGATTTTACACTTGAACTTGACCACTCACAAACGAACAGGTGACTAATGTTGATTTAATTCAACCTTCAAATTTGTAACGATTATTTAATTTCACGTTTTCTGCTAAATACTGAAATGGTTTGTCTTCGTTTTCCTTTTGGTTTTTCTTTCTTTTCAGTTTGCAAATTTGATGATCGATTTTTTAACAGTACGTTTGGTTAGTAAAAAAAAAAAAAAAAAAAAAAACAAAGAAATCACCTACGCATACACACAAATTAGAAGAACGTAAAATTTCACGGGATAGGAAATTAATACACACAAAATTTTCCGTTTCTTATACTTCTTGAATTTCACATAAAAACTGTAAAAAAAAAAAAACAAAATTTAGACAGAATTTCCATTGACATCTCCTTTCGTTTTAAAATTATATTTCATATTTTTTGTCCTTCTTTCAACGTTTTGTTGATTTTTTTTTGTCAGAAATACATGGCACATGCAATTAAAGAAAACAAATAAGAAAAGAAGTCGAAAATATCAGACACTTGTTATAAAATAGCATTAATTTGTGCTGACACTTGTTCACGTGTAAATGTAAAATTTAATAACGGTAATAAATATGAATAACAGTACCGTATTGTCATGCAAAGTGAAAAAAGCGAAATAAAACAAAAAACAATTAAAAAATGTAAAACTTGTTTCGCCCTTTTAAACGCGGCTTTTAGTGTTTTGTTTTTGTTCTGGTTGCGGCTAATCAATCAACTTAACTATGAAGAAGGGTTAATTTTAATTGCATGACAGGTGAGTGAGTTGTTTTCATTTTGTTCAATACACCTAAATTGTACTCTATGAATGTTTATTGATTTATTTTCTTCTTTTCTATTATATTTCACGTTCTTTTCTTTTAGTCTAAGACCGTTCCGTTAAATGTATTCTATTTTCCCAAATATATGCAATTTTTTTTTTTCTTTCATTATCATTTAGTAGTTTTCCTCACTTTTAATTTTTATTAATTTTCACATAAGAAGAAAATCACTAATTTGTTAATGTTCCGGCTATTAAATTGCGTATATCAGTTCGCACAATCTAGACATCTTTATCGTTCGCAAATTTAAATACGTATTCCCGCTACAAAAACATTCCTTACCGCTTACAGCTTCATTTATTTATTCTGAAATTAAAACGTACACCGCTTTACATTACGTATTGGCCGTTCGAAGGCTGACTGAAAAACTAACTGAACTGGAGCTCCATCCGAAAATTTTCACAATTTTCTTGCTTGCTTGCTGATGTTGTAGTTGCTCGCTTCCCATAATACCCACCTTCCACCAACATATTCCATACTCTCATTTAATTCAAAATTCCATACTCTCCGCTCTTTGAATTGCTCTGCAAAATAAGAAGAGAAAAAAATTTATATACAATAAACCAAAGTAAATAACTATGTAAAAGAAATAAATTAAATAAATTAAAATAATATAAATGTAAATGGGATAAATATAAATACATTAATCAAAAATAAATAAAATTAGATGAAAACTTACCTCTTCTCTCTTGGATATCGTTAAGGATTTAAGGTAAGGGCGTGACCATTTTTAATATATTTTTAATGTATTTGTCAAATACAATCTAAATACAATACCAAAAATATTAAAATGATTGATTTATGGAAACGGGAGGAAAATATTATTTTTAAATGATATATATTTAGAAAGTGGTTTCCTGGGCACCTCACTGCATCGAAATTTTTAATTCCATCTTTTCTTTTAAATTTGGTGAGAATATGAAACTCAATTTGTCAGAGCATAATTTCCTTTGCTGTGCCTGAGAATTTGAGAGAAAATCCAAAAATTTATTCTATACCAAATTTCTTCACTTTCAACACTCTCTCAACCGCATTATACAAATTATTGAGAACATATACGCTTATTCTTTAAAGCGCGCATAGATTATACAAACATGTGTATATTAGTCGGAAAGATGCACCCTTCACGTACATGTATGTGTGTGTGTCTGTTAAAGAGCATTTATCATGTTATTTTTGTCGTAACCGCTATTATTTTTGTCGTGTGGAGCTATGAGAGTAATTAAATGAACGAATCTGAAATTCACCTCGATTCACAGTCATCTGAGAGTAATTGAAATGAGCGCGTCTGAAGACCACTTTCTTCTTACACCACGATCGTTGGGTATGGCTGGCATGGCTGGCTTATGAGAGCAATTGGGTGACTAAAGAGTAGAGGAAAGCTTTAGTAAAAGCTTCATTGGCGGTGTTCAATTTAAAATTTTCAAATATTCTCTCAAAGCAAAGCAAATTTTACAATATAAATATCAGCAAAAGTGAATTTCATAGTGTTTTTTCGATGCAGAGAAAAAGGGAAAAGGAGAAAAGAAAGAAGTTCTTCTCCTTTTATTTATTCATGTATAATAATTTTTTCGTAAGACAAGAATGCTGCAAACACTACTAAAAATATCCCGTAAAGCATATATATATTTTTGATTAGCAAGATTCTGGGTAGTTTTATTTTCTTGATATGTCATGCCAAAGCCATAAACGAACGTGTGATTTTTTTAAGTTGCTTTTTGAATAGCATTAATACAATGAATGAAGGAACTTTTTTCGAATACAAAGGCATCGACAGAATATAACGACAATAAACAAAACTACTCTTTTGTAGTCGTCATCAGATCCGTAAGCTGATTTCCTCCGTTTCTGACACAATAATCCACAATATTTTCAAGGGAGCTGATATCAATCATTTGCTTACAAGTGAGAACCTAAAATACCCAAATGTACTCCAAAATGAGATCTCTGACAAATGAATTACCAAATTTACGAGTTTGATAAGTGCGTCGATTACATATTTCATTTTCATTTTATATACAATGCACGCGATGCGATTGAAATCGCTGGCAAGGTACTATATTAACTTGTAACCTTAGTATGCACTTCACTTAGAAGCTTTTATTGGCACCATAGCCTTCTTCTTCTTATTTCTTGGTGTAGGTTGTAAAAAGCGGCAAAACAATAACTGAATAGTGTTGAAAAGTGTTAAGATTTTTTTAATAAATTTTTTACAATAATATCAATCAAGAAATAAGAAGAACAAGAAATTTACACCAAAAAATATCAAGAACAAGAAACCAGGTAATGCTATTGGAAACCGACTACGCTTGTTGAGATTAATTGTGTTCCTCTTATTATAAACAAAGATAACGGACAATAGCGAAAGTTTTAAAAATACCTCTTGAGGGAAATTAATCACTTTTTATCAGGTAATTAAGGTAGCTTTAGGTGGTATTTGGTCAGCCAACGTTTCAAGTACTTGAAACAAGTCCCATCGTCTTTTTAGTTAAGAAAATTCTGGCTTCATAATAATCCATTACACCATTAGTAGTTTCACAACTATAATTTTTTCCTATATTGCTTAATATTTCTTGATTCCGTAGGAATGGAGTTTCTAAATGTCTAAATGTCCTTAAAAAAACTGGAACGCCAATGGGTCAGAGTATGCTGAAGCACACAAAATATATGGTCATTACCATTGTAGATGTCTTTCAAAGAACTGACGTGTCTCTTCAATCAGTTCAGCTGTAGGTGCACATCTCACATCTCACGCAGTTACGCTCATTCGTATACCATTTTCTTGTTTGATGAAATGAACGCTTATTATCAATTCTTAAATTTTAGAATGTGCAGCAATATATCTTGAGCAATCGAAAAATACATTAATTATTATATTTTGTTTGTCAACTATAAGAATCGATTTTGCCACGTCTCGACTTAATCCAATTCAATAAAACGTTCTTTCTAAGATCTGTCACATTTACAATTTCCATCCCAAAAAAAATAACTTTATGTTTTACGTTTTTCCATCTCATAGTTGCTTGCAAATAATCTAGCCGTTATATCAGGTGGGAGTATTTCTAGTATGACATACGATGCCCAAACCGGTAATAAATATCCACAGTGTAAATCGTGATTCATATCTTCATATATTGAATCGGGAGATTCGGTCTATTAACTCTACGTAAACTATGTCAGTTGATCCCTACTGCAACAGTACTATTTTAGGCCCAGCAAGGTCTTCTTGTCTTTGGATCGACTATCAACATATGAACGACGATTGTAATCATAGAAAAGCTACGTCGTTCGCTATCGATAGTTTCCAGAGAGTCTTAGTACACTATATTCAGCTAACGTCACCAAATGGATAGTACCGTTTTCGACGTAAGCAAAGCTACGTCTTGCACTTGTTCTGACCGGGCTAGGATAATATATATTTGTGCTTAGGTTTATCGTACAGAGTTCTATTGTGTAACGTCCGTTATTTTATGAACAAGAAAGGTTCGTTCTAAAGCATTGGGGTAACATTGGACGGAAATATGCGCTTGATTTTTCTCACGTATACATCGCACTCAGCACTGCCATTACTCTTAAAATTTCCGAAGCTGCTGAGCTAAAAAAACTTTCAATATTCATGTGCAACATTCCGAAGAGTTAGTTCATAGGAATGAGAATGAATGTAAGAATTTCATTTCAGATAAATAGACATATGGACATGGTCGAATAGTTTACGACTGTCAGGAATATACCGTAAAAAAAAGCATGGTATAAGATTTTCGAAAATCCATCCAATCTTTGCCTTCAAAATAATTAGTTTTTGACTGAATAGTGGTTTACGGTTTCATTCAGGGTTTAAGTTATTAAATAAAGAATTTCCTTTAAAGTCAGCACTTCAACCAAAATTTCATGCACGATATACTTCGATGACCGGTTTAAATAGATGAGCTTTATATAATTAAAGTTATGTAACTTTTGGTGATTAATTACAGAATGTGTTTTATTTCACAAGTATAGTTTTGAATGATACGAATAAACCGACATTGTTATTACATTCCAATCCTCTGATGCGGGATGCAAAAAATAAATGTACTGTCTCTCTCAACAATTTCTCCTTAGATAAGCAATCGTAATGAAGCAAACGCCTTTGATATCTCGTAAAGTGAAGCAATGTTCTTATCTTTAGAATATTTGCGGTACACAAAGACTATCTAAAAACCTAGCTATTAGTAAACAATCGACATAGTCTATATGTTTAAAAAAAATGTTGTTATCTTCTCTCCTAATTTTTTAACTGGGAATATAATTCCTTTTATCACCTACGGATTTTCAACAATACGGTTTGTCATACACC